CCCCCACTTTGAAAAACGTTCCGCCGGCCCTGCTCCAGAGGCATAGCCCCCTGGAAAAGTTGACAATTTAGGGGTTTCATATTTTTCATATATTTAATCGATTTGAGAAGTGGGTGGGGTGCTGGGGCGGTTGCAGACGGTGCGATCGTACCCCCCTAAATTGTATTAAGAAAAATAATTGTATTATAATCGGAGATCCACTTGACAGTATTTTCAGTATACTATTAGTTATCATGTGTTCCCGAGTTTGAAATTGTTTTGTGTGTTCAAATTCGACAAAATAAATGAAATGAAATTGGTAAGCTTTTTAAGGTATGAGAGTGCAATTTCCGGGCAACCAGAGGTCCATATTCTCAAAATTTGATGTGGATCTATGCACCCATGGGCGCAGATCATGGAGGCAGGGGACACGTCTCGCCACATATTGTTAAGAGGGGGAGTGGTCCCCTCACTTTTCGTCCGCAATGAAATTTCATAAGTCAAGAAGATGCCTGAAAATTGAAAGTTGTTGAAATAAACGGCATAAATCTATGGTCGGCAACCTTTTACTCCTTAGGACCCAGAATGTTCTGACAGAGCTTCCCACGACCCAAGGCCACGGTTACCATAGAAATGGCGTCCAAGATAACAAAATATACGGCCAATGTAATACAGTAGAACCCCAACTTTGTTCGTATATTTTTGACTCGATCCTCTATTCATGCTACATGCATTCCTCCAATAGTAAGCTCGGTATTTTTTATAAAGGGGATGGGACACCACTATTAAGGAGATACTTTTTGGACTCTTCAATAGGAGCTCTATATCGAAGTATTGTCAGTAATTTCATAAACATAGGGTACTTATTAAAAAAGTAATTACCTAAAGCAGCGTTTCAATCTTATTTTCATGATTTGTTGATTTCCATCGTTTTTTTTTTTTGGTTTTTTTTTTCTGACCGTATTAATTCTGACGTTGGTTCAACCAGGGAACAGTGAACACTGTTCCCTGGTTTAACTAGCTCCTTCGTCATGTTTTGATTTCATACTGCCCACTAATTTAGCAGTTCTAAAGCGTAAATGGCCCTCAAAAGTAGACTATTTAGGAGCCCAGGTTGTGAATGAGTGACACTAAAATTCCTAATACTTACTTACTACTTATTACTTAATTAATTAATT